AGTGTTTCTAGCTAAGAGGAAAACCGACTTCTTATGGACATACCAGGAACTTTGCAACGGTGACAAACATAGCCCTGAGGTGGTGTTTTCCGCTCCAATCCTAATCGGCCTCAATGAAAGAAACATGAGTCTCAGCATTATTTATAACACCAGAAAAATCAAATTAATGCAAAAAGAAAGGCCAGTGGCCCCATCCTACGAGGCATTGAGAGTAGAAGAATTTAATTCCATCTCCGTGTGTGACTTGTATGTATCAAACTAACCATGTATCTTATAAAAGAAAAACAAAGGTGTAAGATAATCACCAAAACCACGTCCACCCATCCTTCCAGCCATACCCCTTCCAAAACCTCTACCTGGGCCAAAACCATCAGAGCCTTGGCTGCGAATTAGAAAAAAAAAAATCAGCATGTAGTATAAAGAATATTTAGAAAAAACAAATTCAAGTCATTACACATTAGAAGTCCCTCCCAAAAACTAAAAACACATCTCACCGCTGCCAGTCCAAGGCTGGAGTATCAATTAAAGCCTTAATCTTGCTTTCCTCATCAGCTTTATTTGTGGGCGGAACATCCGGCAACGGGTTGCTCGACTGAGTTGGCAAAACTTCAGGAATCGAATATAAATCGTTCCCAAATTCATCCCACTCTGAGTCTTCAGGCTAAAGATCATATTAAACACACTCAAAATATACCTATAGTACTATGACAAAGCAATGTTGAATTTAAGTATAATTTAGTGAGAATAGAGCTTACATATTTCATAGTAGATGATTCAGTACCAGGAATGTTACTCTTATCAGGTTCAGAGACTTCTGTCCTATTATTTTCAACCTTTGGCCTGCAAAATAATTTGACCCCAAAAAAAAATATTTACATTGGCCTTCTGAATTTTCACCGAGGCTATGAATAAAACAGACACCTAACCAACCCATATCAAAAGGGAAGACATCTGGAACTATCAATTAACAATCTTATAAACACAATAAAACCAACAACACTACTCCAATGCTTATATGTAACAACTTCAAGATTGAATTGATTGAGATTTTAAAGGTTTGAAGCAGTACTCTTGTTCAGTAACAATCGGTAAACGAGGTCGTCCAGGAACCCGGCGAATTAACACAGAGGTATTTTTAGGGATTAACATTGCTTCATCAGGATACTCTGAAATTAAAAAGAGAGCAAAACAAGTCTCAGACTCTGAGAGCATAAAACAGTCAAATATATTAAGCCACGTACCAAATGAAATTTATCAGATACACTCATTCAACTTTGCATACTAAGAAAAATTTCAATATTATTCTGCCACAGATTAGACAATCAAGGAAGGTACTACCTTCTGATTTGTTCGGAATACAAACAACCAAAAGAGGAACATAACTTTTAACTTCTAATGATAAGCAAGTTAACAATCATTCATTGGTTTAAGAATGTGGAAATGCAAACCCCAGCGTACAATCCCATGTAAATTATTTAGTTGAACTAAATAAGCCCAACTGAAATTGCATTTTCTTACTATTCATTGAGGAAAATGATACTATGATATTAAATTCTCAACTCTAAAAAGCCCTAGATACTGATTTGGACAAAATCTAACAGAGAGCAAAACCAACCTTCGTTAGTTTGAGCATTAGTGACCACGAGATCGAAGTCTGTGCCCCTGCCCAAGTGCTTTGATTCAAAAATTTTTTCTTTTAAAACACCAACAGAAATAAATGGACCGTCCATTGCGATTGAATCATAATCTCTTGCACTCTTAAATTTGTAATATACAGACATGATTCTCTTTTTCTTCTGATAAAGAAATCTACTATACTGAAAGAACGGCTAACACATTAAACCTAGAAACAAAACCCTACAGGCCTCCTGAAAAAAGGGCCTGATACTCGATTCCAAATAAATTTACAAAAAAAAAGCCCTCTATTTTGATTAACTCTCTTCAATTACAGTAGAACTATCAAACCAAATCAGGCAACCGACAATAGCAGAGTCGCGCCACAGTTTCTTCGTTTCTTCGAGTGCCGCAGAACTCCAAGAAGACTATTGCGTAGAAATTCGAATTCTTCGAAATCCGATGAATCGACACAATTGCTTTTAGAGATTAAAACGCAAGTTCAATCAAGACCATCGGTGCAGAAATCGCCAGCGATCCAAGGATTTACTATTACTTGCAAATTACAATACGAAACTCGAATCTCTCGTGTCCGCAATCCGACCAGCACCAACGATAGAGACTGGAAGTCTATCGATCCGAACTCAATGAAAAAAGAGATGGTGATCTACCGTTTTGGGGATAAATTCTCACGAGTCACAGAAATAACCTAAACTGAAATAAGTACATGAAGGCGAATTTATATACGACGGGAGTTGCCCTCTCCGTTTTTCGATGTACTTTTCGTTACTTGACGGTGTTCATTGGTCCAAAGTGGACCGTATCATAAATGACCGGTTTGAACCGAAATTTTTCTACTAAAAATCGAGCTAAATGATTGACCGAACCGAACAGGTTTAGCCACACTTCCTGTTCGGTTTAAGATTTTTTATGTTTAATTTTTAAAAAATAAAATAAACAACAGTTTCATTTTCTTTTCCCAAATTTTCATTTCAGTCCTTTTGTGTAATCTCACTATTCAAAAAATTTTAATTTATATTTCTTAATAACGTTACTTTAAAGTATATATATGTGTATATACTTACTTCTTCGTTATTATTTAGTGTTTAAAACAAAATAAGTCATGTTGTTTTCATTTTGTAACATTATATTTGACAGTGCTAATTCATATAAATAACCAAAGCTTAATTTTATTTGAATTGTTTTTATTTTTATTTTTATTTTTATTTTAAAGAAATATGTATAATTATTTGGTTATTTATCATAAAAATTGTATTTTTTTGCTTAAGTTAAAACTCAACTTAATATTAACGTAATTTCATATTTCAAACTCGATTTGTCAATATCTAATTTATTTATTAAGTTTTAAATAATTGATGATAATTAAAAAAAAAAAACTCACTTCGTTTAATTTGGGTTCATTTACAAAAACAAGAGTTTGATTAAATTTTCAAACTTAGCAATTCAGCTCCATATGTATTTATATTTAAAATACAAAATTTCATTACAATCAACTTAGTTATATACGTAATATATATATATATATAAAACTCTTTTTATAACTATTTAACTAACAAATATATTGTTATTTATTAATAGTTGAATAACCGTGATTTAAATATTATATATTAATAATATTTTACTAGTTAATATTTAAAATATATTTTTAAGTATTGTTTCTTGTTAAAAAATAATTTAATTATAATCATTCTAGTAGTACTTTTACAAATTATAATATATTTAAAATTAATCCATTCAATTATATTTATATATTAAATCCGTAAACAATTATTTTGACTTATTTATGTATATAACTAAACATACTTTATTACAATTATTACCAAATTA